TAGTAGAATACACCGGAGGAACATTATTGTTCAGTGTGAGGAAGGTTAATGTGCAACATCGAGAGAAATTAAGATTATAACAAAGTTAACGTCTTTGAAACTCAGATAATTTAATTACTTACTATTTTTAACGACTTCAAAAAAGGAGGAGGTACTCAATTCGACTGTATTTTTAATGCGTGTTACCTCAGAACTTTTTCCTAGGTGAACCGATTTTGATGATTCTTTTTTATTTGAAAGCTGGTGCTTATAATTTATATATCTTATATAAATTTGATCAAGATCTGACCAGTAGTTTTGGAGTTATCCTTAATAATGCGTATTATTATTAAAGTCGATTGTACAAAATTGTTAATTTCATTACTTGTCTATCTTCCTCTCATTTTAAAAAACGTTACCTCCACACTTGGTTTTTCTCTCGTATCGCGGGGGCAGTTTACATACATAGATTTCACAAAGACAAATATCCAGATCCAGAACAATTATTTTTAGGTCATACATATACTTGTTCCGTGCGGGATTCGAACCCGCGGTCTTTAGCGCTTCAACTCATTGCTAAGCCACTGCGCCACAAAGCCGTCACTTGTCTGTTTTACATTTTTTGCTATTTACAAACATGCGACACGCGACAGCAATATTAATGAAAGAGTGGCAATGAGAAGTGCTTCTATTTTCAATCTCTTTCTTTTATCGACCAAGTAAATGTTTAACTAATAGTATGCATTATTATCTATTGTTCTAAAAACTAGTATATACTGATCTTGCATTAGTAAGATGTTACTACTGGGAGGTCTATCTACACTGAAGAAATTTTAAGGTCATTGACATTATACGCGAAAAAATCGGTCGTATATCTAATCAAATAATAAATCTGTAACTACGGCGTCAGTAACTATGTACCTAATTATCTAGATCTGAAAAAATCTGAGTAAAGAATGAAAGGTCGACATTCCTATTGTTATTTAAGCACCCGTATGCTATGCAGCACCTTTTGGCTTATTGACTGGCCATACTTGAATAAAAACTTATAAATAAATATCAAAAGTGCCTAAATACTGATAAGAGAAAAATACTTTTTTGTTAACGTAAGGTGCGCGTCAGCTCGAGCGCGTGCGTGACAACCATCGTTTTCTTAGCCACATTGTCGAAAATAACGTTCGCGGTTTACATATCAAAGAACTATTCTTCTCGGCCGCTAGCAGTCGACTAAATGATTTACGGAGAATTGACCGTAACTTAGTGCGCAATGTATTAAGAGCACAGAGTCCGTCTAGTAGTATAGAAGCCTTTGTATAATATTATAGAAATGACGTTCCAAGCAGTTTTCCATTGATATAATTCTACTCTTTTTTGAAACTTATTTTTTTCTTTTATTACTTGTACATGTAACAGTTTTGGGAATAAGGTTTTTCATGAATTTTTGTTGACGTCGATACCGTGTCTCGAAATAAAACAAAAGAATCATTTATATGTTGTTTATTGCATCACTGAATACTGTTTCTAACACTAACGTACATGCAATATCGAACGAAACTATAAAACCTCTCATGTACACACATCACATTCCAAATAACTATACAGTATACACCAAAACGTTAACTATAAACTTCTACTAAACTTAAACGGACCTTACCAATTATCGATATCGAATAATAGTGATGTGATATTGCACTTCATATAAGTAGCAGCACGAAAGTCTAGTGGTAACCGTTATTGCGTATATTTCGCGCTGATTGGCTCGTGCGTACCGTTCGAACGCGCTGATTGGCTCTCCAGTCGCATTCGTGCAATTCAATTCTTGCGCGTCCCCTCCACGTTTCGTCCAGCGCTAGACTTATGTGCCGCGTCTTGTAGCGGTGCTTTATAGATTTTAGTTTTTTTTTAAATTATAATGACGAATTAAAATGTGCCATTTTAAAATCTAATATGAATATACCGTTAACGCCACAGCCTATTGAAGTTCACTGCTAAACATAGATCTGCCATAGTTGCCACGCTTGGCAAGCGGGTTGAAAACCGCAGTTTTTATATGTTTAGTCGTTATTAGGGAGACACTGCTACCCATCTCCTGATTTGTTTCCCTCGGTCGCCTCTTACGAGACCCACGGGACGATATGGGGTAGATAAATATAGAACACGTACTAGTATTATACTATGATTTAAAGATAAAATACGTTAGCGAATTCATGGCTCAATTGTTTTTTTTTTAAATGAAGCGCCAAACATACTTATAATCCACCTGATGGTAGGTGACTTCTGCAGTCTATGGACACCTGCAGCCAGCTTCAAACAACGAAGGCTAAAGTTGCGTTGTCACCTCTGAGGACTAAGATGGAATGCCTCACAGTTTGTTATCATACCGGCTATCTATATCCTTTACACCGGAACACTGTCGTGCACGCCCTGACATTTGGCGATAGATATAGATAAGAGGATGATCCTACCCAGGTAAGTAACCTTTTTTGCAATTATTTATATGTTATTGAATACAATCGTCCAAACACTACGACATGGCATTTTTCTTTCGTTTCCCTAAAGTGTTTTGTAAGAAAAGCAGGCGGTGTAGTTTCGGAAACTTACTTTCACATCAAACATAAATCACAAACTTTTCCAATATTATCAGGAGTCCCACTATGACAAAATCTAAAATGTCCAGCATTTCAATTATATTTATAACATATCGATAATTGGTGAGGGATTGCAGACCTTTAAAAAGTATAACTTCACCAAAGTTCATTTTCTACGGATTTTAACCAGAATCATATTTGGCAGGAATATCTGAATGAGATTACCAACTTACTTTTGAACCCTGTACAACTAAATACCACAATCAACTTTCATGACCCAGAACATTTTTGTAATACAATAAAATTTATTCATTAAAAATATCGACATATGTGCGAATGAGCACCCTTACTTAAATAAAGCTGGGTAGACACTAGTTTGCGTATACAAATATCTAATAGAAAGGTTAACTTTCGAAATAAATTAAATTTATCGATGAAATAACGTATAACTTAAATTTTAAACTTTAATTTTAATTACAGATAAGCATTTGTTGTCGGTGCTTTCTTTTTTTTTAAAGTCATTTATATCACACAAACTAGTGAGTACATAATGAAATTATATATTACTTTCCCTCTACTAAAATTAAATTTATATTTAAACCATTGCGTAAAAACAAATTAAGAACACCATTTTTCGCGTACCTTTGTATTGCATGTCTAACTCAAGAGTCTAGAGTTAACAATTAATTAATATAAAAATACAATATTTACATTATGCGTGTATACATCAAATCGGTACAGTTTCTGTAAAAAAATATTTACAAATAAAACATTTCGATTATTATTAATAAATCAAATTCAAAATATAAAACAATTTTAATTAATTATATATTGGGGATTAAAAACAAACATTTACTGATACTATATTATTTATAAAATGAGATTTATTTCGTCTTACGGAAACAACTTAATCTATGGAATTTAAATTCTATAACTAAATGTTCAAAAATGTCATGTTTTCAATCTGTAGAGAACCATAATCAAAAGGAATCCTATATTACCCAAGTAAACCGCTGCTAATGTTGCTAAGTTGAAAAATTACAATCGTTAATATATTTGAACTATCACAATATCGGTAGGTACAAAATGCTACATCTAAAATGCGAAAGAGCCGCTTCCACACAACGCCATACTAAAACAAAAACAATATAACATGGTGTACAGGCGGTGTTTTTATACTACAATGCTTATATACTAGAAACTTTTATTTATTGGTAAAAAATTTAATAAACATGTTTGTATACGGACATTATTACAATTCGTCTATAACTTAATAAGATGTCGAATTAATACTACAAAAATGCGTTAAAAATGTGCGTTGCTTTCTAGCGGGCCTAAAGGGCTCACCGCAGTTGGTTGCCAGTACAAAAAATAAATCTCGTGCAAAAGCGAGCGTATCAAAAATGGAATAATATTGTGCCGCGAGTATTGTTCTTGTAAAACTGCTATAAGCTAAAATACATGTATAGAAATTTAAAAAAATGTATATTTTCCATAGAAAAATATCGGGGATCGTTGTTAGTAGAATGGAACGAATATTGGGCGTAAAAATATTAACAATTTCTACGGGTACGACACATTGAAATTTCAATTTTATTTATTTGAGTCTATTTTTAGATGGCAATATTGTTTTCGACATAAACAAGAAAAAATAATTCAAAAAATAGATATAATACAACAGGAAATATAAGGATTCACGATTTTAACATTTATTGTTTATAGAATAAGGGTGACAAGCGAGGACACAGTCCACCTGATGGTAAGTGAATGCTATGAACCATATACATCTATCCTCGATTAAGAATCAAAATGGAGAATGATTTTGTCGCCCGTGAGCAGCAAGATGGATATTTAAAAATTAGTACGCACGTAAAAAAAAATATTTACCGATATTGACGGATCGTTTACGAATTTCACTATAAAATTGAGTATTGAAATTACAGGGGCATTATTAGAACAACGTTTGATAATTTTCTTAGTTAATTAAGCGTGTTTATACTAAACCTAATTTAGGATTACCTATTCTAGTGTAGTACCCGTAAAAATCTACATAGCAGGCACATTCGCTCAAACGACCGTCTCATTCTGTTTGTCGAACATCGCTCGAGTATACTTCGAGATAACGTCGTAAGTAGACTTTAGCAACTCGCAGCGCTCCTCCACTTCGCTATTAGTGGGGGCGACTTTGTACGACGAAGCCTTAGCCCGCCTCGCGGTGTTGCCGTGCGCGAAACAATCGCCCGAATTCAAAGAAAAATCGACCACATTGTCCTCGATATTGTATATAGATATCGATTGGTTTTTGTGCACCATCTCTAGGTCCTTGCGGCGTTTCTTCTTGTCACTGTTCGGGAAGAGGCCGTTCGCGTTGATGGACATGATGGCCTTCTGTACGGGGTTGTACTCCAGCGCGTCGCTGGACTCCGGCTCGTATCATAGGTCCAGCTCCTCCAGGCCCTTGGAGAGGCGGTGCGAGTTGATGCGGCGGCGGTGCGAGCGGCGCACGGCGTCGGCGCGCCGGTACGGCTCGCTGCGCAGCCCGTGCAGGATGTCCTCCAGCGCTCCGTTGTACACTTCGTCTTGGTGAAGGAGTTTCTTTTCGCCGACGGTTTGCGACTTCGTTTTTAATTCGTTGATTACAGCCTCCTGCGGTGGTAAATTGTTTATAAGTTTTTATTTTTAGATTGCACGTATGGTAAACAATTTACTGAATATACTATGGTTAAAAATAAGATATTTCAATATATAAAAAAGAAAACGTAAATTGACGTATCTTACTTTAATTTATTAAGTAACATTAATTTTGAAAAAATTCTTATTTATAAAAAAAACACAGTTCAATTGGAGCTAGTTATGCAGCAATGATCAAAACCACATGTATGAGGAAACTATAACTATAAACTAGCTTTAGCCCAAAATTTGTGAAAATTTCTATTATAACTTTGATATTATTTTCAAATATTATAACGTGTACTGGTAACATTTTTATTTATTAATACCAGGTAAGACTAACGATCAACACTTTGAAACTATGGCAACTGAATTATTTTGCATAATTGGATCCAATTACTTAGTCCATTGTGTTTTATTGTAAAACAGAATTTTTTATTGTTAATAAAATAAATAAATAAATTATACAGTAATTAAAAAGAAACGAACATATTTATTAGCATCAATGTATTGGTAGTCTGCACCTCTATGTAGAGTGTTGACTTGCATGTGAACTGAATTCTGTGGTGTCACTTACTTTAACCAAAAGGGAATTCAAAATGAGTTAACTTTCTAACATGCTTAATTTTTTTCTTTATTTAAGTAGTTTTTTAGTCACACAGTTGGACACAGGATTTATTCTGTTTCGTCGACTCGTAAAAGCCCACAGGTGGACATGTATCTCTCTGGTTCGAAGGAGTATTTACCTTAATCACCACGCCCGGCGGATGGATTGACCATCATAGTACCCGACGTCTAGTCGTGGTGTTTTTACCGACATCCACCGGGAACCATTAGATTTTCTGAAATTTCCTACAGTCTTCTCTTACGACACCCAGAAGAAGGGTGATGGAATGTATTACGCCGCCGATATATGATAGGTCATCGGGCGGGTTTGTCGGCGATTTCAAATGAAAGCTGAAATATTAGTCCATCCTCACCTTGCTTGGCAGATGGGTCGGTAAACGTAAAGCCGATACCGTTACACTGGTAGTGCTCTTTCTTGTTATCGTCTCATCTCATATCGTTATATTATATTATTTTTTAACTTGGACACGATACATTATCGGAAAGCTAAATTAAAATACTATCATCAAATCTTCTAAAATAATGTAAAAAAATTATACTTATTTTATAAAATTCTATTTTATTACTATTGATATGGTAAGAATCTTATAACTACAGTACGTGAGGGTAATATGGTCATCCGGTTAATATGGTCACTTTCTTAACACTCAAAAACTACAGCTTTATTTGCATAGTTGGCTTTGTGATACGATAACTCTTCATCAGTCAATCAAACAATAAAGGGTCAAAAGGGCGCTGCTTTATCGACGCCATTTTGACAGTTGACAATATAGTAAATATTTTAGTCGATTTGTAGTATTGTGTTGTGTAGTGTAGTTAGTTTTTTTATGTTGATTTTTCGAAGTGTTCCTAATTATTGCCAAAGCTTGTTTGCTATTTTTTTCTAAATATATTAGTTATAGTATACGATTTTGTGTTTCTATCCTCTTCGTAGTTTTGGTTTTATAGGGCGGCAAAACTTAAGGTGACCATATCACCCTCATGCACTTACATTTTCTCCAGAGTTAAAAACACAAATCGAATGTGCAAAGCTACCTTTCATTTAATTGTAAACATGTATATTATCTATTTTATACGGATTATTAAAGCGAACTAGCGCATAGTATATCAAATACCAAACTCGTGTATCCCATTAGTATAAACATGCATTATTTTTGAGTTTATTCTTTTTAATCATCATTAAGATTTGACATAATTAATTTGAATTAAATACAGCCTTACGGGTCTTAATTTAATAAATTATTGAATAATTTCAAATATCCCATTATGTTGCGAGTGAACCTCAGTTTCTATAGTAGTATCTCCCCATATGCCCACTATTTGTATTCGGTTTTATGAGTACTTATTGCGATTATTTGGTCTACTTCCGTTTGCATTAGAGTTATTAATATTTCACTGGTTTGGACAAGATTTTTCGTATTTCTTTCTTAAAAGTGATAAAAGAAGGCCTTTTTAAGGCTCAGTTGTTGCAATTATACAATTATTATATGCAATAATAATATTACTCATATTTACCGCGGTATCTCAGGGGTAAGTGCTCGCTCTAAATTTCATAGTACGTGAGCAACACGGGCTCGATCCCCGCTGGCACCCATGAAATTGTCAAATGAAGTATTGCGGTTTCCAGTGCTGATTTACCACGTGTTATTTCTAGATATATATATATATATATATATATAATCTCTCTAGAAATAACTAAGATAATTATAAACATCACAAGGAACCTACATGTCTGAGAAATAAAAATATTACTTACCTATACGTTATAATGTTTATTAATTAAATAAAAATTTTAGACAACTACTAATACTGAGGTAACACAGCGATGTGTTATTTAATATGTTGTAATTACTATAGTCTATACATAAATAAAATAGAAAAAAAAAATAAGAAATATTTTCTACGTAATTGTTATAGTAAAAAAAGTTAAATTAGTATTTTGTCTATTTTCTACAACTATAGCTCAAAGTATCGTCACAAGCAAAAACGACTACAACTATTTTATGTATATTCTATGTTAAATAACCTCAGTTTCAAAAACTTTCAAAGGATTACACGAATTTGACTGTGAAATTTGTAAGTATTGGAAGCGTTAAACAGTAATTGGAAAAAGCGCTACAAGTAAATGGTTAATGATTCATCAATGTGACATTCCCTGTGTTATCCATGCAATGTGCAGCAAGAAGAAAAACATCATTGTCAATGTACACTCGCATCCATAGAGCCAGACGGACAAGGTGAATATACATCAGGTAATGGAGTACAAAATTTACCTAATAAATGAACAAACGTTATAAATTATTCGAATACAGAAAAGTAAATTATTTTATTTTTACTGTTGCTTAAACTGATATTTTTAGAAATTATTATAAAAATATAAATTCACCCATGTCCACAAGAAGTACTGCACATTGAATAAAACTAATGTTACGTATAATATCGCATTAAATGATGGTTTATTTTTAATTATATTTAATTTCGACCGTCTGATATTTTTAATTCAACGTCAATAAATAATAATTTAAAATTTTGTACAGCCGACTTCAATATAAGCGACTTCAATATAAGTTATTTAAGAATAACTCAATAACCATTGGTCTGACCTTGATCAAATTCATATGGGACCACACGAGAACTATCAGCTTTCATATAAAAAAACAATCATCGAAATCGGTTCCCCCAGTACAAAGTTATGAGGTAACACAAATTAAAAAAAAAAACACACTCGAATTGAGTACCGTCTCCTTTTTGGAAGTCGGCAGAAAATAACTCGAAATTAAACGCGATAAAATCCGTAAAATTAGTGTTATCCAATTCACCAATATCTTTAATAATGCAAACGTGGACATAAAACGTAAATAAAATACGTTAAAACCAATTTTTACTCCTGCAGATTGAAACTGAGACAAAAAAATATGTACTATAACCAGTTTAAAAAAAATTTAACTAAAATGTTGGATTACTTATTTCTTCGTTGGTTAGTATTATTAAAAATTTGCGACAATCCTACTTATACGTTTTGTGCGACTATTTTTGATATTTTAATAAAAACACAATATTGTTTTAGTTATAAACATAATATAAGAAATTAACATTTTTTGTCTAGATTGTACCTAAATAAACATCTACTAGCTAAAAATATAATAAGAATAAATGCTACCGTAAAAAAAAAAGAATGTAGAACTCTATTCTTATTCGCTAAACTATTTGGTTTCTTTATCCAAAATTAACTTATCACTATAAAACTTAAAGCCGCTTCCAAAAAAGGTTTACAAGTAAACAACTAAACAAACGAGAATTGATAGATTCATATAGAATATGCGGTATTAGTGAACATATATGTGCTGATATACTTCGATGGATAGGCATTGGCCGTGGGGTCGTGTACCATGCTTCAGAGGCGTGTGTTGTTTAAAAAGCCCGCATTTGATCGTTCACCCGACAGTTCTGATCCCAGACATGCTGATATTGTGTCAACACACCGGCACCAGTCCACTAGAGGCTTCGATGCCAGCAGTCGCACAACTACAAGGGCCTTGAACGGTTCGATACTTGAAGGATATCGCCCTTGAATCTACTTACCTTTAATTGGTGTATATATGTTGAAATCAAAGTACGTTATAAACAAAAAAAAACTATGTACGTAGTATAGTTCGCGTTAATTTTAAACGTTATCACCAAATGGAATTTTATTATTCTGTGATTGCTTTTTACTTTGTCAATTGAAACGTCGTATTTATATATTTTTTTATTACGCCGGCAACAGTTTTAAAATTACATGGCTACAGTATAATAACCAACATACTACTCTATTGCCCAAATAATAAAACTCTGCTCAATTTTAAGATGTCGTAAGTCTCGTGCTGTCTCTATCACTTTAAGTCAAAGTGAGTGTGACACCACGAGACTTAACGACATCTTACAATTGAGTAGCGTTTGAGTATACACCAATTAAATGTAACAATTCCATTCTCATACATGTTAGTACGGTAGTTACACCCCCACACACACACACAAACACACACGCACGCGCACACATCGTGTAAGGCCCCGTTCCGTATCTAACTCCATCGACTTACTCCTAGTCGCGTTAGAGTGGCCTAGACGCTAGAACTAGGTCTAGATCGGGTCTAGACTGTGCCTCAACTGAGACAAGTGTTGCTGCAAAAGGCCAGCGCTGACGGCCGCGTAGTTAAACCTCTGTGAGAATTAATTTTTCTGATGTTACCATCACCATCGCTACTATGTTAAGGGTGCACATGGCAATATTGCGCTTTTAAGCGTTCAATTGTAAATCTATTTAATATCCAAAATTAACGAACTTAAAACCAAAGTATTATTTAGATACG